TGCTGCTGGTGAAAACACATTTAGTGATTTTGCTGCTTCAAAATAAAGGTTTTAGAGGCTTTTCGTCAACAACACAAATTTATTTGTTTATCCACCGTTTTACAGCTGACGAGATGGTCACATTTGAAGTGGTAAGTGTGGACACCGTTGAGTTCTGGTGCATCCGATTCACAAAAGACAAGAGTAACCACGACCGTCAACGTTCATCCTCTGGGGATCATGAATGTGGGTCCAAAAGCAATGAAATGAGGGACTTTCTTAGTGGGAACACATCCTGCTGCCGTACGGTTACATCACTACAGACCAGTGCAGCAGGTGTTAATCGTTCAGGTATTTATGACGTTCAGGTGGTTTGGAGCCGTTAGCGCTGACGCAGGCTGAACAAGTCTCCCAAACGGCTTTACTGGGTCCCATTAATGAGGCGTTATATGAATCATGGTGATACTACTGATTAACACAGCTCCCACAGAGTCCACTAATGTACGTCTGTCTCACAGCAGCAGGAACACGGGAAGGTTTGCATTTGTTGTTACTGATAAACAGTTTTTTTTCATTTCAATACATGCGGGAGTTGTTTCTTTTTTACAGTTTAATTACATCTCATATGTCATTAAAAAGCAGCACTATCCTCACAATTTATTTGCTGGAACCAAATATTTGCCGTCATGTTTTTGCATTTGAGTGTTTGGGCTCTACAGGGGTCCTTTGTGAGTATGTCTCCAGACGACGTCAGCATTCCTCACAAGTGAAGATAAAGGCAGGAAGAGGCGCTCAGTGGAGGGAATCATGAACGCTTCCTCTGATTCACCCTCAGTGGCAGTTAAGAAAGATTAGAAATGCATCTACAGAATCCCTCCATCTACATGCACACAAATACCAGTGGTGGAAGAAGTATTGTTATTAAGTCTGGTCTGGTCTGGTCTATCTAGTCTAGGTCTAGTCTAGTCTGGTCTGGTCTATCTAGTCTGGTCTAGTCTATCTAGTCTGGTCTATCTAGTCTGGTCTAGTCTAGTCTGGTCTGGTCTATCTAGTCTAGGTCTAGTCTAGTCTGGTCTGGTCTATCTAGTCTGGTCTGGTCTATCTAGTCTAGGTCCGAAACCAGCTGGAGGTGTGATCACACCCATTAAAATGTTATCAAGCCATTTGTGGTGAAACTAAAGCTGTAAAGTTGTTACTGTTTATGAGTTACGATGGAGGACAGATTATAGATAAGAGATGCTTCCAGCTGTGTGGGCCTCATTGTTTAACAACGGTAATTAACATATATATCTCAGACGAGTGCGAGCTTTGGAAGATCTTTGATCAAATTCTTCAAACTAAAAGCACAATAATGCCGAGTTTCATTTTACTAAGACAACATGAAGAGAGAGGAAGAGGAGGGTCAACGAGTCAAAGCACAAGATAAGAAAATCGGATTTAACTTTTGGAGAAGTGGAAATAAAACACCTGTTTTAAAATCCTCTTCTTCTACATTACTGCCTTTTGTTTAAAGACGTGTTTTCAGATGTTTTAATAGAAAATGACCCCATAAAGATGTTTAAAAGTTCTCAAATTTGGTGGAAATCCAGCTGATGGACCAACGAATAAGAGATTTGTTTTTGGTGTCACAGTTATCGGGCTGGTGGGACTTTTTCTAAATTACTTCAAACATATCTTTTGGTGTTTCTGTGAATATAAATATAAATATATATATTTATGTTGTGATGTGTGACTGCACCTGCCAACCAGCAGAGAAGAATGTATGTGGATTTGTCTGAACACGCTGAGCTCGCTGCCTGAGATATGTGTGTGTGTGTGTGTGTGTGTGTGTGTGTGAGCTACAGCTGTGTGATGGCTTTGCTCCAGTAACACACACACACACAATTAAAAACAGCCACTCAGAGCTGATCTGAGAGCTGCATAGTGGACCATTTGTCTTCAGGCGTCAAACTTATTTTAATTAAAGTATCCAAAATATGTAACATCTGCACCGAACGCTGTGTCGGATTCTCTGATCGTATAATACTGGTATTTATTTTAATTAGTTATCCTCTAATTTAAATGAGCACCAGCCTTTGCAATCTTTCAAATGATCACTTAATCGTGCATTGAGTCCCTGCAAGATTCATCAAGCTTAGTGTAAGACGTTTATTTACGTAACACAGATTAAACTGCTGTGATATTCAGGATTATTCCAGGAATGAAGGATGAAGTGTTTAGTGGTCAGCTGGAGCGGCTCGGTGACAGCCGGCCTGTGGGAACTGATCCCAGATCACACACACACACACACACACACACACACACACACACCGCAAAAATTAAGATATTTCTCTCAACACAACAACAGGATCAAAACCAGGGCGATGACAGACACATTGAAAATGTTCTCACAGATTTGCAGGTTGCGTTTAGATGTTTTTCAGAGCGTCTGCTCATCACTTTCTTGATCTTATGAGTCAAAAGTAAGTGTAAGATCAGTGGGCATGTTCTATACTTTCCATGGTTTTGGAGAGAACGAGCTTAATTGAGCCTCCAGGTCATGTGACCGACCCCCCGGTGTGTTCGTCACTCTTTTCATAGAAGAACAAAGAAAAGGTGTGACGGCCAGATGACCCTCAGTGGAGAGCTGCTACTGTCTGCAACACTCAGCGCTGCACTGAGCCGCTGCATGACATGTGTGTGTGTGAGTGTGTGTGTTGGTGTGTGTGTGTTGGTGTGTGTGTGTGTTGGTATGTGTGTTGGTATATGTGTGTGTGTCGGTATGTGTGTTTGTATGTGTGTGTTGGTGTGTGTGTGTTGGTATATGTGTGTGTGTCAGTATGTGTGTTTGTATGTGTGTGTTGGTATGTGTGTTGGTATATGTGTGTGTGTCGGTATGTGTGTTTGTATGTGTGTGTTGGTATGTGTGTGTGTTGGTATATGTGTGTGTGTGTTGGGATGTGTGTGCGTGTGTTGGTATATGTGTGTGTGTGTGTTGGTATATGTGTGTGTGTGTGTGTGTGTGTGTGTGTATATGTGTGTGTGTGTGTGTGTTGGTATGTGTCGGTATGTGTGTGTGTTGGTATATGTGTGTGTTGGGATGTGTGTGCGTGTGTTGGTATGTGTGTGTGTGTGTATATGTGTGTGTGTGTTGGTATGTGTCGGTATGTGTGTGTGTTGGTGTATGTGTGTGTGTGTGTGTGTTTGCGCTGTCAGACGATCACTTTCCCTCAACAGTAAACTCGTACAAAGATGGAGTGAAGCCAAGAAGAGATTTTTAGATTGAAGGCATTTAGCCTCTGAATACATTTTATAAACCTTTCTCTCTGGGTTCGTATCATTTGAAAGTTACCCATGATACCTTGCAACATTAATCTATACTTTTACATACCTTACTTTGAGTAGAAACATATTTATTTCTCCTCAGTGTAAAAGCCAAACTTGGAGTCAGAAAGAGAAGTAAGAGTTGTTTCTGGCAGCACATGATGAAAAATGTTCAAAATATTTAAGTTATTTATTTCCTATGAACTGTTCACACCGTTTACTTTTGAAGAATATACGGTTTTCTTTCTGCAGGCTCCAGAAAGTAGCTCAGGGAGCCTTCGAGAGCCTTTCATTCATGTTGCAAATGAACTAAACTAATGTAAACTTAAGCTCAACGCATTACGCTGCCGGAGGATTGTTGCACTTATGTAAAGAATCACAACTCGACTGTTGTTTTGTTGCACGTTAAAACATTGCTCATTGTTTGACCTTTAAGGTCATTCTGTTAGTTTCCGGTCCAGAATGCATGAACATCCTGCACGTCTTTTTAAAATAAAGCCGTGATTATGAGCTGTTGTTTTATCAAATATTAAAAAGGAGGATCAGATAAAGACACAAACACAGCAACAGAAACTCTTCTCCTCCTGCTGCTGCTTGTTCAAACCTCCTGCTAATTAAAACCGGTCTGTATAAAACCAGAACCACGTTTTATGGCTGATATTTAATGGTCGGGCCCGTTTATTGCTTAATGACACCCTGTAATAAAAGAAATGAATACTTGGCTCAGTGCCGAGTGTGTAAATATTATCCAGCTGCCACTCAACCGCCGCGTTCACCCAGCGCGCACAGATATGACCGGCAGTCAAATAAATAAAGGTAAACAAGGTAACAACCAGCAGCCAACACACCACACACGCCCGATGAGCCTGGACCTCCACTACACACTTAATGTGTGTTTATATCAGTACTTCATTGGTTAAACTGTCGACCAATTACATTCAAGCAGAGTTCTTGTGCCTCTTTCAGAGAATACAACCAGAACAGACTGACAGCTGTTTTAATATCGTGTGAACGTCACAACTATAACCAGACACCACAACTTCCAGAATTTTTGTTATGAATATACTTGTAATATCCAAAAAGTACTCATTAAGGCTTTAATGTGTACAAACAATAGAATATAACACATAAACTATTAAAGTGGTGGAAAGTACATGTGTTCAAAGTCTGTACAATTTTGAAATACTTGTACTAGTATACATGAGTATTTTTGGTTTTCTGTTACTTCTAACTGAAACTTGTATTTCACTCCAATTCAGTAGAACTATTGTACTTTTTACTGTATTACATTTATTTGACACATTACTTACTAGTTGCTAGATTCAGATTAAGATGACTAAATATGATCAACAAATAAATCATAATATTAGTGTTAAATCAATTAGACTTTATCCCCAGGGATTCACAATCTACCAGCAGTTTATAAAGTATTACATATACATACATACAAAAAGATATATAGATAGTCCCACATATTAAAGTAAAGTGCAAATCAATGCATCAACAATGATAATCCAATAATATAATACAGTTCATATAATACAATTTTGCATAATTATCACTTTTACTTTTGGTACTTTGAGTGTATTTTGATGCTATAATTTAGTACTTTTAATATCATTTTGAATGAGGTACTTTTACATGTAACAGAGTATTTGTACACAGTGGTATGAATACTTTTACTTCAGTGTATTCGGTCACATGAAGATACTTCTTACCGCTCATCCAGTCCACCACTTGCTGCGGGCTCCACTTGCTCACTGCCTCCATGTCTCCGGTGTTTATCTCTCGCTTCTGCAAAAACGACCGAATCAAACCGTAAACCCGTTAACCCGTTAAACCGTTAAACCGGACATACTGACCGGAGGAGTATCCGCTGCAGAGACAGACTGACTCACTGAGCTCGTGGAGAAAGTTTACAGTCACAGCAGAACACATGCGTGTTTAGCCACGCCCCTCTCGTCCTTTCTCCTCCAATCCCATTAAAGTATGTTGATGCTGCGTTCAGGTACTTTCAGACAACACGATGTGAGAATGTGTAGACAGAGTATCACATTAAACACGTCCTCAGCCGCTAATCAGCGCTCAGTACATGAGAGCAAAACCACGAACAGAATTTAACTTTAACCAATAAACACTGAGGAAACACTGCAAAAAGATGTCATTATCACACCAATACATTGACTTTCTGTGAAAACAACCCATTTCCACCTTTAACGTAGTTCCTAACTTGTGATCTCTGACAACAGAGCAAAGCTGAAGTTATCTAGTAATTCATAAGACATAAAACTTTAAAGATTAAAGGAAAAACTGAACATAGTTCAGAGCATCAGAAATATGATTTATTATCACTTTCTCATGGAGCCCTTTAACTTATCTTGTGACCATTTGTATTTTAAAACAAGTTATTACATGAAGTACTTTTATAGCATCACGCATTCTAATGTTCCACATGTGACTGTATTTAAAGCGGCAGATGTAAAAAAAGCTGATTTGTGTGACAGCACCTGAATGCAGCATTGTGAAAATCTGGTGTGGGCGGGGCTTCCTGCTGTGATTCTTAGTAAAGTTTAATAAAAGTAGCGACGGCTCCTTTAAATCTATATTTTAAGTGAATGAGGATGAAACGTTTGTTTTTTAAGATATAGTTACTTTGAAAACAAATACTAAAAAATAAATGTTTTACGTTTAGTGCAGATAAGAGGGTTAAATTCACAATCAAAATGAGCTCTTCTAGAAGCGTCTGCTAAATGACTGTAGTGTAATGTTTGTCTTAAGACGTTTTAAATGTGCATTTCGTCCAACATTAAATCTGCAGTTCGGCGTATTTTTAGTCAATATATTTTATGTATTGAAAAACATCTCCAATAAACAAATTTACATAATTTAATCGGCTTGTAAGATCGTCATATCAAAGCTAAATATTTCTACTTTACAAAAGAAAATATATGGATTTAAAATGTGTTTAAACATCAACTCTGATGCTTTAGTTTTTATTATAAACCAGAAAACATCTGTAAAATGAACATTTATAACTGTCTCTCTCCAAGTGGTGAGAACAAGTCTTGTTTGGCCTGAAGGTGGCGCCAGAGAGACACTGATCCTACTCTAACTTTAAAGAGGAAAACCTGCTGTATATATATTATATAAAGCAAGTTTTGTACCCTAAATAACCAACCTCTGACCACGTTGACTGTGCAGTAATAGAAGTACAAACAAACAGAGACAGTAAACAAATTTATTTTGTCATCTGGGTTTAAAGCTGGAATTCTGGGAATTCGAACACGACGTCTTTGCCTGTGAGTTTCTTGTAGACACCAGAGAACGTCTCCACCTGAGGACAATTAAAGAAAAACACAGCTTTAGTTATACAACTATTATACATAATATATAACTATATAAACTATAAATGTGATCCGATGTGACCGACCAACAGCAGACACTCAATATCTTCTATATTTCAATAAAGACAAGTTACAAGTTAGCAACACCCAGATTCATGTCTTCACTTTGGTGTAAACGTTCTCATAAATTATCTTTTAGTAGATTCTCAGTCGGACTATTCGACCAACTTCAGCACAAATTCAGACCATTAAATGACAAACGCAACATAAAGACATCAAGTATGAATCCACACACAGTAAAGTAAAGATCTGAGACAGATGTTGTGCACTGCATGGTTTAGCCCCCCAGTCACGGCCCCAAAGGACTCTGGGAAGATGTAGGAATATGCAGGACGCCCGTCCTCACCGACCGGTGGCCGGGAACAGAGCTTTGTGTCCGACGTTGTGGAACGGGACTGTACGTCTCAGCGTGAAGCTACGCTCCCATACGCCACCAGGACAGAGCCAGGAGAGCAACCTCCTGGATGACCACGTCGGATTGAACATGTACCAGCCAATGAGTGCACAGGTGTAGGAAATACTCTCCTGATTGGGCGACGGCCGCTTTAAATACGGGTCTATTGTAGTTGAAGTGAGACTTTCTGGGTTCAGAGGTTAATGACGTCACATCATAATTTTTCAGATGTTTAATAGACCAAATGGTTAATGGAGAACATGATGGTTGCAGCCCTGATCGTGTCCCATGACGTACTTTGTGTTCCACGTTGTTCTGCTGCGCCTTGTCCAGGTGGACCTTGATGAGCCGGCTGCAGTCCATCTTCACTCTGATCCTCTTACCAACGATCTCGCTGGGGAACACCAGGTCCTCCAAGATGGCGTCGTGGACCGCGGTTAAGGTACGGCTGAGGGAGGAATCAAGAAAGACTTTAACATTCAACACTCACACAGGCTGAACACCAAGCTCAGAATAAAGTTCTGAGGTGAAACAATGTGCACTGCATGGTTTAGCCCCCCAGTCACGGCCCCAAAGGACTCTGGGAAGATGTAGGAATATGCAGGACGCCCGTCCTCACCGACCGGCGGCCGGGAACAGAGCTTTGTGTCCGACGTTGTGGAACGGGACTGTACGTCTCAGCGTGAAGCTACGCTCCCATACGCCACCAGGACAGAGCCAGGAGAGCAACCTCCTGGATGACCACGTCGGATTGAACACACTGGGTTCATACTTTACACCATCACCTGATTAAATGAGTTTATTAGGTGATTATTGGTTTCAGTACTAGTACAAAACAAAAACAGCAATTTTAAGATGAAGAAAATCTCATTTCTGTTATTAAAATGTTCAAATAATTTATTTAGAAACAAATTTAATCAAATGTTAGATTAAACGATAATTAAAATAATCAGCTGCAGTGTAAACGATGCTTTTAGGGGGATTTGTGAAGATTTCACATATTTTATATTTAAGAACCTACAAACAGATTAAGTTGCTCAACATTAGAGATGGCAACATGAACATCAACTATGTGTTAACACAACTGTATACTGTAATATTAACTTAAAAAAACCTAATAAAAGCTTCTGATAAATTTAGTTAAGAAACTGTTAATTTAAAGGTGACAAATAACTAATTATATATTAATCTGCCGACAATTTGTGACGATTCCTCAATTTGTCTCGCCTATAAAATGTCAAAACGTCTTTCTGAATTTCTCAGATCTTCAGACTTCAAATCACAAATCTTTATTTAAATTACTTGTTTTAGCCAAACAGCAGTCAAAACCCCAAAAATGACTAATAAAACCAGCAAATATTCACCTTTGAGAAGCTGGAACCGGAGATTTTTTTTGGCATAAAAATGGCTCAACTGATGGGTTCTTGTTTGCTTATTGATTATAGTCTCATAATAAAGACGTCATACGACCATTAGTGTTCTTTTCAGTCAGGAGGAGTTTCTGAAATGTGCATCACTGAAGTGTAATAAAGTAGCGAAGACCAGAAAAGTGAATATATACATATTAAATACAATTGTAGTAACATTATCGTCCTCACCTCCTGGGACGCTTCTGCTTATTCTTTGTGCGGCTTTTCCTGGTGGGTTTGGGCAGAATTCTCCTCTAGAAAAACAAGAGAACTCATTAATCTCCAAAATCACATTCACAAACATTTAAACTGAAATAACTCAAGAACAGAAATACCTCATGAACCATAAGCAGCAGAGTCAGACTGGTTATAAGCTGCTGAGATTCATGTTCCTCTTAGTTCTACTCGACGGCTTAAAGTCAAAAAAACGTGCTTCTTTCTGCATTAAATACATTTCAACAGAAAAAACTATCATAACCATGTAGAAGAGTTTGCAGACACGGAATACTGATATTTTCTATTATAGACATGTAAAACAATGTGCACTGCATGGTTTAGCCCCCCAGTCACGGCCCCAAAGGACTCTGGGAAGATGTAGGAATATGCAGGACGCCCGTCCTCACCGACCGGCGGCCGGGAACAGAGCTTTGTGTCCGACGTTGTGGAACGGGACTGTACGTCTCAGCATGAAGCTACGCTCCCATACGCCACCAGGACAGAGCCAGGAGAGCAACCTCCTGGATGACCACGTCGGATTAAACATGTACCAGCCAATGAGTGCACAGGTGTAGGAAATACTCTCGTCTGATTGGGCGGCGACCTCTTTAAATACAGGTCTATTGTAGTTGAAGAAAAACATAAAATTGAACAGCTGCATGTACAATATCCAAAAGTGCAAAATGTTCCTCCACACAGCATTAATCAAACTACAGAGACAGGTCTAATTTCCTGAAATAAGTTGGTGCAACATGTAAAGAAGACTACTATGGAGAGGAGTAGTGAACCAGTAGGAAACACTGGAGGAAGAGCTCCAGTATGGACACAGCATTCCTTCAGCACATCCTCAGGAAGTCCATAAAACTCACATGGACTTGGTAAGACCCCCCCCAAACAACTCTGCAGTATCCACCCAAGGGTGAGAAGCTGAGGCAGACTTCATCCTCCTCACCTGTGCAATGAAGACGACATGCTTCCCGCTGAACTTCTTCTCCAGCTCCCTCACCAGACGCACCTGAATCTTCTGGAAGGACTTCAGCTGAGGAACGGGAACGAAGATGATGATAGCTTTTCTGCTGCCACCAACCTCGATTTCCTTTAAAGAGAAAAAGTCTTTGTATGACCCAAAGAAAAAAAAGCTTTGTAAACATCCCTACTTATTAAAAACATGAAGCAAAAGCCGGTGAATGTTTGTCTTCTTAAGTTAAACTGATATGAAATAATGTGCACTGCATGGTTTAGCCCCCCAGTCACAGCCCCAAAGGACTCTGGGAAGATGTAGGAATATGCAGGACGCCCGTCCTCACCGACCGGCGGCCGGGAACAGAGCTTTGTGTCCGACGTTGTGGAACGGGACTGTACGTCTCAGCATGAAGCTACGCTCCCATACGCCACCAGGACAGAGCCAGGAGAGCAACCTCCTGGATGACCACGTCGGATTGTTTTCCATTTAAGGAGACATTCATGTTTCAATACCAGTGTGACTAGAAGTAAAACCAGCACTAAGGCCGTTATAACGTAGACAGAAGAGTGGAAGTGTCGTCCTACCTTTGCTGCAGTGATGTTCAGCTCTCTCAGCTGAGCCTTTAGGTCAGAGTTCATCTCCAGCTCGAGTAGAGCCTGCAGGGAGATGAGGAAAATCAGCATGGAATAGCTTCATTCATACATTTACAGGCACTGTAATGGTGCATCTATTAAATGTAACAGAGTTTTGACTAACGCAGCTTCTACTCAGTTTATATTTCTGTTTACTTGCAACCGAGCAGGACCAGATTCCTTCTTAAGAACGTTGACAAATTTAGCCAACTAATCTAGGTGATTTTGTCTGTTATTGTTGCAAAAGTTTCCACCTACAAGACAAATATATGCAGACAAGAGTTTTCACTGTTTTCTTCCAGCTATAGACGTGATCTAAACCTTACCTGGGAGATCCCAGACTCAAACTCGTCTGGCTTTTCGCCATTCGGCTTCACTATTTTGGCGCTGGTACTGAACATGGCCGTTGTCTCTGCGAAGATAAAAAAAATAAAGACATGCAAGGGTTACATACACAGATGAACGTTATATCTATATATCTTGATTCCCACATGAATCACTGGAGGAGCTAGCTGCTGCAAACCAGCATGTATACTTAAGCTAGGCTAAAGCTCAATGCTAGCCGGGATAAGTAGCAAGGATAGCCGACATAGGGCAACAGTTAATGGAAAAATATATTCCCACGAGACAGGACATGGAGCCATAGTAGAAACTGTACATACACATAAAGACAAACTACAGGTTAGCTAGAATAACTTAAGCATTAGCTAGCTAGCTGAAATAACTGCTATTTACACACGCTACCTTCTAGCTGAGCAGTTCTACGTTACGAACACAAGTAACTAGTTTTGTTTCTTGAATCTACACATACATAGTTGTGTGTGTATACACACAGAATACTACTTCTTTCGGTATAACAAAGCTGCTATCTGAACACATGCACACGGCCTGCTAGCTAACGTTACTCCACCGATACAAGAAACACCATCCCCGGGAGCTTCTCTACTTTTGTTGTATTTTGTCATATAAAACAGCCATCCATCGCCTGAAACAGCACAATCTAACGCATCAAAGCCTTAAGAACCATTACGGTGGGTTTAAATAGAGATTGAACGACATTAAAGCACATTTTAAGGTAGAAAAGCCAGTCCTGTGAAAAGTAGCACGACTAACCTCTGTCAACGACGGCCAAGGAAGAGGACGGAACATCGCGAGAGTTGGTTTAATCCAATCCGCGCGTCATATTTAGCTATCGCGAGAGTTGTTTGAGTCCACGTTTGGAGGGATAAGAATATCGCGAGAGTTTGTGTTAACACTAACTGGTATATATATATATATATATATATATATATATATATATATATATATATATAAACTTAAACTAATAAATGAATAAAATAATATATATATAAATAAATATTTTGTAAAATAATTGAGTAAAATCAACTGATAAAAATAAAACAGAAATAAAACAGAAAAGCGACCACATCACATAAAAGCCAGTCTGTAAAAATGTGTTTTAAGAAGTGATGTAAAACATCCAGTAGGTGGCGGTATGCACCTTAAATGCCGGTTTGTATTCCGCCATTAAACCCAATGAAGAAGAAGAAGCAGCAAACTAGCTATCTAATAACGTCACTACCTAGTTTTGACATCCTTTTTCTGGCTGTGTAAGTTCACCTTGCTGCTGGATTTTGCCCCACGTTTTTTAGGGGTTTATAGCTAAACACACATTGGACCAGTCAGATTTAAATATATATATTTATTGTGTTTTATTGAGTTAACAAAGAGGATGTCAGCCACTTCCGGTCCGTGATGTTTCGACTGACTGGTCTTTTCGGTGCAGTACGAAGGACCGTCTGCAGCGCTGCAGACATCATGGCGAAGGGCAAGTTTTACTACGCTGTAAAGAAGGGATTCAAACCAGGAGTCTACACTTCATGGTGAGACGGTTTACATCTTAGTGTCAGAACATGTGTTAGTAAGAAAAACAAAGCCTTTGATCCTTTAAAGTGAGTTTCATTTAGCGAGAGGAGCTGCACGACTATTCCCTTCAGATATCTGGTGTTTTAACGTCTCCTTCACCTTTGGCTAACCAACACAATATATAAAAGATCATGTAAAACGGTCTTGTAATCATATTAAGTAGAGAATATAGACATATAAGGTCTGGAAAGATTAGCAGGAGTCCTGTTCAGATTTCATGAATAGTTTCCCATTGTTCCTGTTGTTTAGGGATGAATGTAAGAGCCAGGTGGACAAATTTCCAGCCGCCTCTTTTAAGAAGTTTGGCTCAGAGAAAGACGCCTGGGCGTTCTTCAGAGGGGTCGAACCTGCTGCAGTTCCAGAGGTGAAGAAAGGTAAACCGGTCCAGACAAATATGAAACTCTTCTGCACAACACCCCGAAGAAAACACATTCTAGCGGCTGTAGTTTGTCAGATGTTCAGCTTTATTGTCTTAAGGTCGCTAAGAAGATTTCCCACAGTCAACAATCTTCTCGTAGAAAATTTTATGAGCAGGTTTGTGACCGAAATGTTTTGGGAGGTACCCACACAGGACCTGGATACGTAGTACAGGGTTCTGGATCTAAATGTCACTTTACAAACTATTTCTTCAAGTTGCAAAACAAAAAAAAACTTTTGTGTTTTTCAGTCGCTGAGTGTGTGGAGTCGGCCATCGCTCTGCTTCCTAAAAGAGGCCCGGAGCCTCTGGAGTACATCCCCATCGGTAGGAAGAGGTGTCACTCGGACGAGGACGCGGAGTGTCAACCCAAACGAGTCAAACAGTCGGAGAGCTTGTCTTCAGAAAGCACAGACGGGTTCACATACATGGGTGAGACGATCGCACGTCTGTGGAAATGAGATTAATGTGGACTTTACTGAGCTGTCACTCAGTTCTTTGTGTCTTTTAGCTGCTAGTTAACATGCACTGTGCTCTGTGAAAGTACAAATGGAGGAAACTAGAGTGAATAAATACAACATGAACTCACTCCAGGCGACGCCGTGGTTGTTTACACCGACGGTTGCTGCTCATGCAACGGACAGAAGGGCGCCCGAGCCGGCATCGGGGTCTACTGGGGCCACAACCACCCACTGTGAGAAAACACACCGTTTAGAAGTCACCTTTTTACTGAACTTAAATCTGATGTAATTCGTCAACATTCATCGCTGCTTTCCTGCAGAAATGCCGCCGAGCCGCTGGATGGAAGACAAACCAACCAGCGTGCAGAAATCCAGGTACGTTTAGTGTTCATGCACCAACACGGGCACAACGGTGTGTTCATGGCTGTAACAGGTTGATGAGCTGTTACATGTGTGTGAACCAGGCAGCCTGCAAAGCACTGGAACAAGCCAAAGAGAACAACATAAAGAAGTTGGTCCTCTACACCGACAGCAAGTTCACCATCAACGGTGAGTCGCAGTAAGGAAGTCGTGCAGTGGGTCAGCGAGGAGCAGGTTATGTTGAATCTCACCACCCGGAGAGTTGAAGTCGGCGGTGTGTTTGCTGCAGGTGTGACCAGCTGGGTGAAGAACTGGAAGCTGAAAGGCTGGCGGCTGAAATCCGGAGGTCCGATCACCAACAAAGACGACTTTGTGAAGCTGGACCGACTGAACGCGGAGTTGGAGGTGGTCTGGGTAAATATCAGGCAGTCTCTGGCTTTTTATTGCTGAAGAGTCGAGAGTTACGGGTTTTTACTGTAAAATAAAAATGAAAGAAAATCACCACATTAGTTACTTTCACTTTCTTAAAATCTGTAAATTTAGAAGATTTATTGTTCCTTCAGAAATGCGTCATAACTTTGATGTTACTCTGCCTTCATTGAGTGAATAAATATACATTTATATTTATATATAATCACTGTGTTACCTCCTTCTAGGTTGTCACTTTAAGTGTTGACATCAACATATATTTTTTTAATAAATCCGACCAGCCGAAAATGAGAAATAAACTGGAGGTTATAACATTTGATGACTTTAAAGTTGAGAAAAATTATATTTTTTTCCTCCAGATGCACATTCCGGGTCACGCCGGCTACAAAGGCAACGAGGAGGCCGACAGACTGTCGAGAGAAGGAGCGGCGAAGCGGTTGCAGCAGAGATGCTCCTGAGGTTCAAGAGACTGTTTTCTTCTGGTTTATCCGCCAGTTTGCTGCTTTTATTCAGACGTCTGTTTCTCTTCTCGACGAGCGACTCTGTGACTGAACCTGAAACCCAGAGAGACAGAGAGAGAGAGAGAGAGAAGTCTGTGAGGTTGTTTCTGTTAAATGTTGATTTTTGTTTGTGTTTTTGCTCTAAATAAAGTTTCTGCTTCAGTCGCCTGTTTTTTGTACCGTGTGATGAACATCACAGTCTGATCAGTGTGAGGTTTGTTCTGAGGAACAGAGTGGAGGAGGAAAGGAAAGAAGGGAAGAGAGAGAAGGCAGCAAGACAAGTGACAATAGCTTTTGAAGAAGGAGATGAGCAGGAAGGGGGAATAAGAAATGTTATTAAAAGAGGAGGAGTTTGATTATTTCCAGCTGTAACACAGTGAACCGTCCAGCAGGAGGAGCTCCAGGTCGTCGTTGTGACTCCAGACAAAGATGATTTTATTTTAGGATCTGTTTGACTACCGGTTCACACATTTGATGCATATTGTTTCAAACACGTCTCTGCTTTGGGAATATTCTCCTCAAACTACATGAAAAAACCAGCTGATTACAGTGAAACCCAATTGGGAGTGAATGTGTTTCACACAATTAATCTGCTCCCAGTCTGACAAGCTACTAGTAAAACATGATCACATCAAACAACACAGGTTTTGCTGCGTATATACAGGTATTTCATTATTGTATTCTCATTCCCATGATGAAGACTGAAAAACATTCTCACTGTAAATAAATACTTCTTGTGGAAGATACAGTTGATTTTGAGCTCCTGTTATCTCCTACTGGGTGACTTTACTTTAATAGGATCCTCTTTAGCTTCATCAAACGGAGGCGATTCTGTCTGGGATCCAGTCTCACACGTTAGACAGACAACATGAACACAGATAAGTAAACACAACTTTCCAGATAAGCAATATAACATTTCTCAGTTCAAGAACATGTTAAATAAACCGTTATTACAGTTGTTCAACCCCTTATTGAGAGTAATATGATAAGGAGACTGAGCCAGAAGGAGCTGTTTTAAGGAGACATTTTTAAAGATCTTTACCTTTTATCTATGCCTGTATACTATGGTAATCCAAACGTTTATCCAAAATAAAGGTACTTTAGTTCTGATGACTTAGTAACATGTATATGTATCACAACAGAGCAAAGAAAATACAGACATGGTTGGTTCTGTGAAGAGTATCTGAACACTGCTGCATCTTCATGAGGACGAACAGGCAGCACTTCACCGCTACCGGGTCTCCAACATCTACGTGGACGAGTCGATGGAAACTGCAGACTCACAGATGGAGAGACGAGTGCCGAAGGATCCTTCAGACTGTAACTGAGTTTGGAGAATTTGGAGGAAGGGAAGTTCTGAGGACAAAGAGGCCAAGTGAGACCTGAAGAAGAAGAAGAAGAAGAAGAAGAAGAAGAAGAAGAAGAAGAAGAAGAAGAAGAAGAAGAAGAAGAAGAAGAAGAAGAAGAAGAAGAAGAAGAAGAAGAAGAAGAACTTTTAAAGTTTCTTTTTACGGACAACTAGTGAGCGAACAGTTGCCAGCAGACATGGAGCAACCTTAGCATTCTTTTGGATCCGTGTTTGTGCCCACCGGATGAATGAAAGTCCAACATTTCATTTTCTTCTTTTAGCTCCTGTTTTGGTCTCCACCAGCGCTGGAGAAAAAATGTCTGCTGCTAAACACTTGATGACGGGTTTATAACAGCTGTCTGAACCCAAAATAAACACTTTTGCTGCGATTTAATAGCAATAAACGGATATAGAGTGATACCGAAATAACTAAATAATGATGTGTACAAAGTCTGAATTCATGTTTTGTTAGTTCGCTCTGCAAGAAGACAAGCAAACAACTTTAAAAAATGCTTGTTTTGTGAATGGCGCTCGGATCGATCGGTGCTAAGCTATGCTAGCATTGTAGCTGCTCCATCAACACGTAGATTCGGCAGCATCGTTATTGTTTGTACCATAGACAGTCTATGGTTTATACACGTACATTTATACACATGGTTTCGCTGGCAACGTTCCTGGGAAATAGAGACGATCTCTGGAAAAGTGAGATCCTAAAACACTGGTTCCACCACACAGAACCAAACAGAGGTCTTCCAGATTGTAACTTTAAGTACATTCTGTCAGTACTTTTACTTGAGTAAGCTTTCAAGTGCAATACTTTAACCTGTAATAGAGTATTTTTACATATCAGTTTGTCTACTTTTACTTTAGTAAAGTATCTCAGTACTTCTTCCAGCGCTGCTTCTCGTCTGCTTCCCTCCGGCAGGCCAACTGTACGTGTTCGTAAAACATAATCAGCTTTGTTTCTGCTGATGGAAAACCGAGAGAAAAAGAGACGATCCAGACTCCCCCCCCCCCTCCTCCCTCCCTCGCTCGCTTCCTTTCCTCTTTGTCCTCCTCCGTCCTCCTGCGGCCGGTCGATCGGTCGGTGTCGATGCTGGAAAAAAAAACGTCAGGACGGAGGGCTCGGGGTTCCTCGCTCTGACCCTGAACGCTGCCTCGCGGCGAGCGTGGGGGCGCCACGACCCCGCCAGAGGCAGCCCAGGCTGAGAGAGAGAGAGAGAGAGAGAGAGAGAGAGAGAGAGCGCCTCCTGGAGGTCAGAGGTCACCCCGCAGCAGCTTCACCTCCTCGCTGGCTGAGCCTCGTTAGCGCTCCTCCTCGACGCACACACATTTCTCCTCAGCAGACCGAGCTCTGGCATTGGTCCACCGCTGCCCTGCTGGAGGGGGAGAAGGCCGAGCAAACTGTAAAGAAACTTAACAAACCAGACATTAGAAACATCCTGCGCGCATCTTCACTCGGAAGGTTTTTCGTCAAATTTTAGACCGACGGCGTCTCAAATAAATCCGGAGTGTTCTGCCGGGGTTGAGGAACTCTCTGACACAACAAACCGTCTGACACCGAGCGGAGGATGTTTCGCTAAAAAAAGTGCTCGCAGAGCTAATGGAGGAGAAAGAAAAACTTCATGCAGCAGCTCGACGGAGAATAAAACCCCCCAGATTACGGCTGGTGTTGTCACTTAAGTCCAAGTCCCACAAAAGTTAAGAGTTACAGAGTCCTGCTCGGTCTCTGAGGTCGTGTCTCAGTCTCTGAGCTCACGTCTCAGTCGCGGAGTTGATTTCCATTGTTGAGGTCAGTTACCGAGGCCGCGAACACGTCACTGAATTCTACTTTAACGCCATTTTTCAAATCTTCACTTTTGAGGAGATGGAACGTGAGGATATTGGGTAGTTTTGCTTGATAAATGACTGTCAGGAGTCATCTATTACCAGACATTCCTGTTGAATACCTATAAATGAAATGGTTCATCATCTTTGTACTCGTCTCTGAGTTTAAATCCAAGTCACTGATGTTTGAGATGCCGAGGTCGCAATCTAAAAGAACGACGCGCTCATGTCATCGTCGCCACCGCCGAGTTAATATCCAAGTCTCAGAGGTCACATCTGGAATAGATGAGCTCATGTCTATTTTACTAAGCTCATGTCCGAGTCAGCGAGGTCAAAGTCTCTGAGTAAAGTTAGGGGTCGCTGACATCGTATCGCTTCATCCAATCCTTCCTTTCTGATCCGGCACCGAGAAGAGAAGATGAACAAAGTGGTGTCTTTGTTTCCATGACAGCTGTCCGTCCACCTCCTCTCTCCTCTGCCAACATGATGTTTGATATGAAGGGAAAAGAGAGTTTCTTACAGCTTTTTTTGGTGTGCTTCTGGCTCAAAGAAATCTCCGGATTTGTTAAATGAGGATCGTCAAGGACCTGATTTTTACCTCCGACTTGTTTTTCACAAACCAAACGCAGCAGCAACTAGAAGGTACGAGAGGTCCGAGAGAACGACGTGCTCGTCAAGAAACCAGATTTATCTTTGAGACCAAATCTCTACTTCATTACTTTAATTAATAACGCTGCGATCAGACTATAAAAAAAAATAGCGGCACAAACTGAAAGCTTTTTCAACCTTGCTCAAATTATTCATCATATTTTTTTATAGAAGAACAACATAAAGCAGGTTTCTCTAAATGCAGCAATTACATATAACGGCTTGATGACAGAAACCTGTTAGTGAATGTTAGTTTTACTTGTTTATAATGTGTATTATGTTGGTTTTTCACCTTAATTTATGTGCAAATCGTTGTTGCTACGAGGTGTAAGAGCTCTGTCTCCCTCATGTCCTTGCAAGTGCCTTTTAATTTAGTGAAATTACCCTTTAAACCATGAAATATTGTGCATATGGACAACATCATCCATGCATCTGATGGGCTGCTGCATGTAAAGACTGCATCTCCTTGTGTTTAGTGGAGGAAGCTTGTTGTTCAGTCAGGTCAGTGAACTCACCACAGGCCTCCGTCAGACCTCTCTGCGTGGAGCCTGATCAATTTCTTCATCATGCCGACCGATCGGTGTATCAGCTATTAGCAGCTTGGCAGGGTCCCGTCATCGGGGGCTTCATTATCTCGTCTCCCCGCTGATTTGCATCGTGGACAGAAACCCGCGGATCAATTCGTGCCCTCGTTGGAGAGTCTGGTTTGCGCTCTGCATCCCTGCAGCCATCCAAAGTTTTTACTCCAAAAATGAGAGTTCCAGCATTTGGAAATTATGACGCCTACTCTGATTAAGGAAAAAAAAAATAGGCTTGAAAGTAAAACTCATTATGGAAATATATTGAACTTATTGACTATTCATGGGATTTGTCTGCAAATGAGGAGACAGTCTCCGGGATGGTGTCTGTGGTGTTTTGAAACACAGAAAGGTGACGTTTCTTTTGCTTGCTCAACGGGTTTTGAATCAATCAGTAATTATTTGTTCTGGATGACTTCAATTACAACGTGAAACACGTGACACGTCGAGACATTTTTTCATACTTATCAACAATAAATCCCATAAAAAGACCAAAACTAACAATCAACGAGAGGTCCTTGAGCATGCAGCCATAAAATGTGGACAGACAGACAGATGAGAGCACACACGCACACACACCTGAACACATGATCTCCCCACAGGTTCTGATGGAGATAATAATAAAATGAATGATTGGCTGGATGAGATTCAGCTGCTTTGGTTTCAGGGTCCTGGTACTGTGTGCATGATGGGACACTTGATTGTTAAAGGTTCTGTAAAGTGAAGCCAAAGCTTCATGTGTTAAAGCTGCATTCTCTCTAGTGTCCACCAGGGGGCGACTCCTCTGGTTGTATAGAAGTCTATGAGAAAATGACTCTACTTCTCTCTTGATTTATTACCTCAGTAAACATTGTAAACATGAGTTTATGGTCTCAATCTCTAGTTTCAAGTCTTCTTCAATACAGCATGATGTTCATTTAGTACATTATGGTCCATTTAGAGTCACACAGACCATAAAGCAGGGGATGCTTTAGGGCGGGGCTACACGGTGATTGACAGGTCTCAACCAGAGACGTATACAGCGTCTCTATGTCGCTTTTGTTTTGTACATTTTGTACGTTTTTCTCTTAATATTTCTTACAGGGCAGCCTCCTAACAAAAGCAAATCACTCTAACTTATTTATTAGCCAATCAAAACCTAAGATTGTTTCTGTTATTTTTTATACTCGAGGCCATGGGGGCTTCTTAGTTCTTTTCCCCTCTAGTAGGTCGCTTCAAATTAACCGACCTTTTCCACAGGTGCATCCAATAACATGAATAATGGCTGCATTCCATTCAGGTGAGCAGGGTCCTGGTGTGAGTCTCTGCTAACTCACTGGTGCGGGCTCAATGGCACTCTGTCATTAAAATGTCTGCAATTAAAACAGCAAACAGCGTGCACTAACTCCTCGCTTTTTTTTGGATACTTCTGGGGGCTGAAACATTTTGAGACCCGTGCGGACCTCGGGGCCCGAGGCGAGGCCAAGGTCGGCAGGGTTGGAGGTGCTGCAGTGCCATCCGTCAGCTGCCAGAGCTCTAATTATGCAGCAGAGTCCTAACCAAGCGTGAGATGTCATTACACAGATGGAGCTCCGGAGGAGAGGGAGTCTGTTTGTCTGTCAGTCTGCATCTGTGTTCGTCTGTGTGTGTGTGTGTGTGTGTGTGTGTGCATGCCATCAGTATCTGAGGCAGTGTAGCTGTAGAGCAGCAAAGAGTCTTAACGCTTCCTCCTTCTGTAGCCTAGAGGTGAACAGTTTGGAAAGTTCAAACCTTTTTTAACCAAAACATATAAATGAATCTCTCGGAGAACAACTTGGTACATTAGAGAAGTGTTGATGTGTTTGTTATATTGAAACAGAATAAAAGCCAGAATTATCATTTAAAGAACTATTGACATCAGAGGAAAACACTCAGCTGACTGCAGCATCACACAGACACCACTTTCACCTCCTCCACCAAAAACTGACTCATAAACTTCTTTTTAATTGCTGCGCTCAGTGTTTGAACTCTGCACCGCGAGCGCCCGCCGTCCTCATTATGAGGAAGAGGTGAATTGTGGGTAGAATCTGCGGGTGGTTCGACAGCCCGCTGTGAACGCTGATGTTTCAGGAGGCAGGAAACAGAGAGACGAAAGAGGAGGACGGACGTGACGGGAGTGGAGAAGGAGGTGGAGAAAATAGGAGGACATTTGAGGAAATATAGGAAGACAAAGATAGACAGAAGGAGAAGGGGGAGGATGAATGAGGAGGGAGGAACTTCAGGAAGAAAGATGGAAAAGACGAAGAGGAGGAAGAGTAGGGTGGTGGAGGGAATGGAGGCAAGAATGATGGAGAGAGATGGAGAAGAATCAGCTGGAAGTGAAAAGATGAACATCTGTAAGGAAAGACACTGACGGGATGGAGAGAGAAACAACGTGACTCAAACATCAATCACGTGACGAGGTTGTCCCGTTACAGGAGATGGTGCTGAATGAGGGAAAGTCTTTCATCTTTATTTTATTTATTCTTTGGTCACAAAGCTTCACCTGAATGCCACGTGTCCCTTCACACTGTAAAAACATATTATAAAATATATTTCAAAACAAGGCTTTTATTAGATTAGATCATGTTGAGTTCATTTCAGTTCATTTTCAGAACAAACCTGAATATATTTAATACATTACATAATATATTACATTAAGGCTTCACATGAAACAACTTAGTTAGGTTTAATAAAAGATGGTGAAATACTTGAAGGAAAGATCATCGTGTGGGTTAAAATAACTACATCATTGCTGTTACTTAAGTACTCAAGTTACGTGACAGTTAAATCAACGTTGGCTTTGAATCTCACGGGTTTCCTGGCTGAACGATCTCTGTTTGTTGGACCCATCTACCTCCACTCCTCTTGTGGTCTTTATATTTCATTCTTTATACTTCATTACATTGATATCCATCTGGTGCATTATTTTTAGTAGGTATAGCTAATGATGCTGGATGAGACCAGCCTGAACCGTGTTGATTAAAAAGTACAATATTTACCTGTGAAGGAAACGTATGAAGGACGGTCTCAGCACTGTATTTAAACGCAGTACTTGTATAACTGCACGTGCTCTGCTCTCAGCACTGCGATGTGTTTGGTAGAAATGGGACAGCGAGGCGCTTGGAGCTGCCTGCTGGCTGTTAAAAATGCTGTGCAGGTCTGCAGCGAGCTGAGATCCAGTGAGGCCGACGGTCTGAATCCCAAACACACATCCTGCCTCACCAGGATACACCTTCATCCACACGTTCAGGCGTCACAGGTTGTGTTTTTAGCACAATAACACATGAAGTAAAGACAGAATTCTGTGTCATATTTGGAGGGTAAAATCTGCTGTTTTATCCTCATCATCAGCGAGGGGGGAAAGGGGGCTGATGGGAAACGTGGTCTTTTTGACGAAACACAAACGATGACGGGCAACATATCGTGTGCTCCTGCTGCAACACTTGATTACAGGGAGCCAAAGTGAAGCCCTCTGAGATCTGCCACAGGCCAATGAGCATCGGCATATTTCTACATAAATTAGCTTTCTTTTTTTTGTTGGCTGGTTTCTTCACTCATATCTCACTGGTATCAAGTGTTTCACATCGGTGGCTTCAGGGGGAGGAACAGGAGCTTCCTCTGTGATTCAGTCTGCAGTTAATACGGGGGATAATTATTACGTGGGCGCGTCGTAATTGACTTAATAAATGAGAAATATCTACAGTAATCTCTGTTTTTAAAGCTGGGAAATGTCCACACAAAAAGAGATGTTTTTTTGGGGCGACCTTTCGCAGGACGATTGGTTTTTATCGGTGACCTTAGATTCAGATCCCATTGTGACATGCTGCCAGCATCTTACTATACGCAGCAATGATCCACAGACTGTGTAGTAATAAGTAGAAGATATGTTTTATAGATTCTCGCAGCGCTGGGGTTCTGTAATCGTTTTTGTTTCGATTCGATTCGTGTTGTGCTGCTTTTGTGTCTGGAGAAAAGAAAGCACTGACAGGCGAGGGTGTGGGTTTGGTTTCAGCGACTCAAAAATTAAAATGGATCTAGTTGTCATGACAGATCGGGCGTGCTTTGGGTGATAAGCAAGGGCATCCCGAGAGGCAAAAGTCAGGGCAAAAAAAAGACTCACAAATGACTCATTACCGATGAGTAACAGTGAGAATTATGCCCACAGTAACGACTGCAGGCAGATGAGTGTGTGATCAACATCTTGAGACTTTTTCAACAGCTTCTCTCGTCTACAAGTAAGTAAGTGATACCCAGGCGGCAACCGCCGGTTCTGAAACGTGAAGCCAAAGCTTCATGTGTTAAAGCTGCATTCTCTCTAGTGTCCACCAGGGGGCGACTCCTCTGGTTGTATAGAAGTCTATGAGAAAATGACTCTACTTCTCTCTTGATTTATTACCTCAGTAAACATTGTAAACATGAGTTTATGGTCTCAATGTCTAGTTTCAAGTCTTCTTCAATACAGCATGATGTTCATTTAGTACATTATGGTCCATTTAGAGTCACACAGACCATAAAGCAGGGGATGCTTTAGGGCGGGACTACACGGTGATTGACAGGTCTCTACCAGAGACGTACACGGAGTCTCTACGTCACTCCTCCTCAGTCCAGATATGGTCACTTCCTGTTCACTGGTTGCAAAAGAACAAGATGGTGACGAACAAAATACCGAACTCAAGGCTTCAAAATCAACAAACCAACGGGTGACGTCAGGATGACTCCGTCCACTTCTTATATACAGTCTGTGGTAAAACCTAATGCTGGGTGAGGTAACAGCCCGACCCGACAGACGTAGGGCATCGGGGATGAAAATGGCCGTCGGGCACAACAAATGACCGTTTTATCCCGTTTAGTGGACGACAACGGACTTCCAAAAAAAGCGCGTAACAATTATTCTCTCTCGTATAATACAATGAATTGTTCTGTGACGTTGACCAATAGGAGCACTGCGCGCTCTTCTGCCTACACCAATACAATCTTTTATTTCCTATAAGAAAAATAAATTATAAATGACTATGACAAAGTAAAAGGGTAACATTTAGTATTTTTGATAGTTTACTGACTTCAGAGATGTTGAAAGGATTTTTGGGATGGTGGCATAAAGAAGTAGTCCAGCTGCTAAAATCAAACTAGAAAGGGATCTGTATCTGTCAATATGGATCATCAATGATCAGAATTAGTATCAGCTGCAAAACAAACGTGATCAGGGATCTAAAAGTTATATTTACTCCCTTTTTTCTTTTGTGCAGATCCGATCCGTGACTCCGATCCGTGGTACGATCAGAACCGTGAGTTTTATGATCCGTTACACAGCTAGGAATGACCATTTAATTATGGAGAAATACTTCCAGGGGCTTTGAATTAAATCTTAATACGAGAAGGCAGGAGACTGGAAATCATAATCAGACGTTTGAGTGTTGCGATATTGTTTCTCTTCATTTATGGCAGCTTCCTTCAGCAACACAGACAGACAGCGCCGTCTCTGTCTATCTGTCTCTCAGCTGTATTAAATGTTAATCAGCCTCCTGCAGACTCAGCTGCTCTCTCCGGCTTCGTGTTTCTTAATTCAGCTCCAAATCTTCTCCTCATTCTGTATGCAGAAATCAGCCTGAAAAAAAGAAAAAGAAAACCCTTTTTTCAAAGGCAAAACCCTGCAGAGAGACACGCCACGCTCCCTAATGCAAGGTAGATAGACAGAGAGCTATTTATAGAGTTTGTCCTGAGGGTGCCACCAGAGGAAAGGGCATGATGGGGTCATCCTCTGGGGAGCTTAAAGGCTGCCAAAACATTTTATGGTAATTTGCCCACTATTGCTGCCGATGTTAAACTGTGCCCTGATGGTGTCTCCAGAGGAGAGGGTCACCAAAAATGATTGTGGTTCATCCTCTGGGGATATATTATTGTCCACAGCATATTTCATGTTATTTTTGGTCGGTAGTTGTTCTGATGGACATCTCTCTGTGAGCAGAGCAACAATAGCATCACATTAGAGTCGTGTTTGTGTCTGTAAGTCCCACAGTCACTCTGCTTTCAGCTCTGTTTTGGTATCCACCAACTGAGGAAAACTATTTAGCTCCTAAATGCTCCACTTGTGTCATCGGCTCGTCTGTAACTTCGTCCGTCTGAATTCTGTCTGATTCAAATGATGTCTTACAACAAGTCACTCCTCCTGTAAACGCCTGTAAATTTCCACTTGTTACATGAATACAGTCTTTTCACAGGAAACTACTTAGTTATGTTAAAGAAAAGATCGTGAAATACTTCGTTAGGTTTAGTAAAAGATCGTGAAATATTTAGTTACGTTAAAGAAAAGATCGTGAAATACTTTGTTACGTTTAGTAAAAGATCGTGAAATACTTCGTTAGGTTTAAGAAAATATCGTGAAATATTTAGTTAGGTTTAGGAAAAGATCGTGGTTTGGGTTAAAATAACTATGGTAGCGTTACATCGTTGACTTCTCGTTTCACACGAGGAACGATCAACGGTCTGGTCTCCTGGGTCAAACACTGTTTTTGTTTGTCCCATCCTACTATGGATGGATTTTTGTTGACGAATCCTGGTTCATGATTACGTGGATTAAATACGAATTGACTTCCTGGGATATTTACAAATGACAGCACACTAATTTAAAGCTACGAAAGCAGTGTGGAAGCAGCCTGAATGGGTTCATCAGTGCTTGCTTTCTTAAAAACAACGGCTGGAAAAAAAGGTTGATGGGACTGAAAGAACCAACCCCAGATCTACTCTCGTTTTGTCCACTTCGTGTTTTGTCGCTATATTTGTCGCTATGTTTTTTTTTCTCTGAGCTGTGTTCACCATTTTCGTAGCGTCCTCTTGGATGCGTGCTTACATCTGGCACCTGTTCACTACGTTATAATGATTGTTATGATGAACTGAAGTGATTGAGAGGGATTATACACATTGTTTTACAAGGAAGATCCTAGTTATTGCGCCTTTAACATATAATAATATATTATAATTTATTTATATTTTGTACAATTATTCTAAATCTGCAAAGTAACTAATAGCAAACGTTATGAAATAAAGGCAGTGGAGTAAAAAGTACAATATCTCCCTTTGAGATGTAGCAGAGTAGAAAACAACATAAGATAATACGACTGTGTGCGTGTGTGTGTGTGTGTGTGTG